TCCACAAGAGTTCGGTGAGACAGAGCACGGTGTTTAGCGTTTGATGCAGTTCTCTGATAAGACCTAAGTTTATCCAAACCATCACTTCACTCAGACACCTGTTTCTTCCTGAAGCAAAATCAGACTCACACACGCATTCATGTCACAACATTCTCAATCTTCATAAATTCACCAGAAGGTCTATTTGAGCAAGAACAGCATATAAACTGTTAAAAGATTGTCCCACAAAGTTGCCAATGTGATTGTTATTTCCTGTTTGTCAATTTTCAAAATCATTAGTTTAACTTGAAGAATTAAAACTTGTAATCCTTCAAACTTGTTTCCTCATTGAACTGAAACACAGACACTCAGATATTATCGGCAGTTTATGGATGAAAACAACCTTTGAGTCTTCTGAACAATATAAAATTTGGTTATTGATTTATTAAAATTAATATTCCGAATTAATACGTAGCATGGTTTCTCTTTCATAAAAGAGCATAAATCCATAACGCTACATATTTTATGTGCAATTTAATGCAGTATTTTTCAACCTTGGTCCGCAAGGCAGTGTGCCAATAGTCAGACACACGTGGATTAATCCCTTTGTCCAATAATGTAAGACAGGAAATAAAAGAGCTGTGCTTAATTCAGGAAATAGTGAAGTTGTGCACAAAGCTCAGAAACCACAAGTTTGTTTAAAAAAAAAAGCACAGCCCCACCAAAAATATTTTTCACCAGCCGCCACTGGTGGCTCAGACTCCAGGAGCTCAGTCTGCTGCTGCAGGACAAACTGTTTCTATCAGATGTAAAACTGACACACTGATAGGTGATGACATGAACTGGTATCTTCAGATATCTGGAGAAGCTCCTAAACTCCTGATTGCTGATACAACACTTCGTCAGTCTGGAGTTCCATCGTTTTAGAGCAAGTTACTCAGGAACTGACTTCACTCTGACCATCAGTGGAGTTCAGCCTGCAGATGCAGGAGTTTATTACTGTCAGCAGGATTACAACTTACCGTTCACACAGTGAAGCAACGTTGTACATAAACCTCCTTCAGCTGAAGAGGAACTGATCCACAGCTGCTCTGAAGCAGTTTTACTTAAAGGAGCATGGGGCAGACTGAAGAAACGAAACTCATTAGCAATGCACTCGGCGCTGTGAGTAACTGCAGCCCGGCACGAGAGCCCGCACAAACTCTTCACTAGAAAAAAAAAGTTACAGTGATGTATGGCCAGAGCGCGGCTCGAACAAGGCACCATGTCGAGCGATGAAGTAAGTAACATTGTTACTTTAGTCTAATATTTGTATAATTCCATGACAACATTAGCATTTTAATTTAGCCATGACACTCGTGATGTAAAGCAAGTGCTCCTTCCTATGAAATATTCATAAGCCAGTTTTGTGACTGGCGAGCAAGACAGTAACATGATGCAACTTTATCAGCATAAGGCTTTGTGGCTGCAGGTGATTTCTGATGTTTTTAGACAAATTACAGTTATTATTTTGCACTAAGCTTACTAACAAGCTAATGTTATTGTTTATACATCATGTAAGAACATCCAATTTCAAGTCACTGACATCATTTGTGAAACCAATTTCATTACAGGACAGGCATCACAACAATGTAAATAAGAACATAAATATCAATGTTTAGTTCAAAAAAATGCATCAAAATAAAATAATATAAACAAGACCTACAGGATAATACAGTCATTTTTACCATTACTGTCATTGATTTTCAGGAATTCACATTGGAAGGAGTGATGGAAGACAGTTCAGATGAGGAGTATGTGCCTGAGCCTGCCACAGACTTTGATGTGTCGTGGAAAAGTCTGAGACCAGGGGGTAAAGGAAAGGGGAGTGGAAAAGGTCGCTCCGAGGGTCGGGGAAGGACACGCTTAAGCAGTGGCGGAGCTTGGTATGTGCAACATGTGTGGCCGAACAGGGCGGCAGTCTGGAGGGGGCGGCATTTAATTTCCTTTTTTTTCCCCCATCAACCGATACATCAACAAAACACAGAAATCACATGTTCTTCATAATAATAATAGTGATGAGTGATGATAATAATAATATTTCTGTAATAAAAGCACAACAAAGTCATTGTTTGCGTTTATATTGGGATTTTATTGCACCCCCTTGTGTCCGCCGCGCCTCTGTAGTGCGCTCTATAGCGCCCTTCATCAGGTGGGGGGCGTAGGGATCTCGGAGAGTGATGATGGAGGGATACAGGTACCGTTTCACATATCACCGCTCACAAACATAATGGAGAAGAAACGGTCGAAGCCATCTGGTGCCCAATTTCGGAAAAAAAGAAAAGAAGAGGAGGAGAAACGAGGAAAAGATGCAGGTATGCATCTCTTTATTATTTAGTTGGTATTTTTCCCACCTGTCCCCCAACTTATTGATTAACTAACCTCTCTAATCTGTACGTTTTGCATGGTGCTATGATGATTCCTTCAAATGTCTTTTGCTAGCTTCTTACCTTGCATGTATTTAGAACTACTTCCAACCGCTAGCTTTTTCTTTGTCAAATGAGCTTTTATGAAAAGCTAAGAGTGGGAAAATCGAAAGGCTGATAACCAAACGCTATCAAATTAAAATGAGTCTTTGAGAATTTTGCTGAAATACATTGACGGCGGGCGGCAGGTCTCGCGCCGGCGCCATTCGCCTTTCTTTTTGGACTCGGGAAATGAGCTACGTATTATTTACCCCACGAAAAATGGAGCGGCAGCGGGCAGCTGGAGGCTCCCTGCTAGTAAGATCCCGTTTAAACTGTAAACTGCCATAAAATAAAAACTATAATAGCTAGAGCGGTCTTTTTTTAGCTGAAAGTTGAGACTGTCTCGCCTTTCAGCACTGTACAAGTCGATGATGTCATCGTGTTGCGTTAAGTGTGCTGCACAGCACACCGCGGCTATGTTAACTCACAGTGACCTTGAAGCAGCGTGGGAGAGTTGAAGAATTTAACCAGTTAAAATGGATTCATGGATATTTAATCAATAGTTGTGGCTCCTCTGGTCATTTAGTTCTTTGTGTGCCGGAGACATTTGCTGAATAAGGAAATAAAAACTTAAAATGACAAAAAAATTAGGGAAAAACACTTGTTTTGTATTTTATCAATTATTAATGATTAATAGATTGTTGGTGTTTTAACTTTTGGTAAAGGAAAACACACAATTTCCAGGCAGCCCCAGTCTGGAGAAGTGATGGTGACATCAGCCGTTAAAAATAAATAATACTCTGAGGTTTTTATGAATAATTTGTACTTTTACTTCAGTAAAAGTAACAGAGGACTCCATTCATACACACACACCCACTTCTCTGTGAGAACAAATGACCCCATTCATACATCCTCCATCTCACACACACACACACACAGACACACACACACACACACACACACACACACACAAACACACATACGTGTTTTTAGTGTTTGGGGGGGACTCACCACTGAAACAAATCCATCCATTGGGGACATCCTCCATTTTACACACACACACATCTCCAATTATATCAAATTGTTTTACATTATTATTCCATTGTTTAATTAAATGTTATAAAATTCAGTTTTGCCTCAAGCGACTTTGTTTGTGTTGGTTGAAAATTTCTGCTCCTAACGATTCCACGAACTTTCAGACAGATTGATAAGATTTTGGATTCAATTGATTTTCCCTTTCTAATTAGAATGGGTGGTGCCCCGTAGATATCTAAGAATATCTTAATTAATTAATAAATCGGTAAATATTCCCATATTTACAGAATTTATTGAAGAATCCAAAAGTAAGTAAAAGCTTACAAATTATTCGCTTACCATAACCCCAACACAGTCCTATAAATGATGTCACTGTAAACCAAGATGGGAAGTTTTGACAAAGGTTTGCTTTGCAGAAGGAGTAAAGGATGATCTGTTGTGGTATAGAAACCCAATTCTTGACGACTTTAGAAAGTAATGAATTAATGTGAATGTCAAATGAAAGTGTGCTGTCCAGCCAGATACCCAGATACGTATAGGAACAGACAAGTTGTAGTTCTGTACCATCCAGGGAAACAATACTAATGACAGAACTCAAAAACCATTCTTTATTTTAGAAGATCATCTGGCCCTCACGGTGTCTGCTGCATAAAACTTCGGCCCTTAAACACATTTAGCTGACAACCCCCTGCCATAAAAGATCAAACTCTGAAGCTTCTAGCAGAAGCTGTGTGTTAAAGTTATTACCATATTATAAACAGATCAGTCAGATTAAATATCTACATGTTTACCAATCCTGACTTTGTTTATATTTTATTCAAATGAAACATAAATGTTTCTGCTGATTTTAAACATAAAAGCTTAAACATCTTCGGACTCTGACAACAGAACATATTTAGCTAATAACAAATACTTATTTTAGTTCATCAGACAATCTCAGTTATTTACTGTAGAACAAGCTGTAGGAAGATAAACCTGTAGAATAAATGTTTCTGGAGTTTATTTTGTTTCCAGCAAAAAAGAAAAGTAATGAAAAAAGTTTAATGTGCAGCAACAGATCAGCATTTTTAAAGGAATCTAGATTTTATTTTATATATCTAAACTTTTACCTATAAAGTGACTCTGGAAACTTGCACACCCTGTTTGATTTATTTATTAGTTTGTGTTTTGAGTTGAAATATTAACTAAACTCATGTCACACCAGATAAAGCTGATTTTTAGAGGATTGTTGATTAACTGAAAATTCAATACCTTTTTTTAGATTTTTCATTTTGGATCAATAAAGTTTTTTTTTTCAGAGACAATCTTGAATTCTTGGGTTTGACCTGCACAAACATCAACCCTTGGTACAGAAGATTTTTACATTTTACAACCTTCTAGATGTCTTTAATAGATGTTTCTGTTATAAACTAAATAAGTGAAAAGCAAACAAATGAGACTGACTTTATTTTGAGTTTAATGCTTATAAAACAAGCTTTATTTAAGCAGGTGAAAAACCACATGAATAAAACTGAAAGAATTAGCAAAGTAAAACCAGCATCACAGTGAGTCCCATCAGTAATGGGGACACTGGTCTCTCCTGAGTGACTCTGAGACTGGAGACTGGGAGCCCTGGGTGGCCTCACAGGTCACAGAGCCCACCTTCCTCCACTGGTCTGCAGTGAGCCTCAGGGTGCTGCTCCAGCTGTAGAGGCCGTCCTTCATCACCACGGGGCTCCTGTCCTCCTCCCAGCTGCTGCTGCTGCCGTCCACCTTCCAGGACAGACTCCAGTCTGAGGGGAAGCCCTTGTTGGCCAGACACATGAGCGTGGCCTTCCCCTGCTGCAGCTCCTCACTGGAGGGAGGCAGCACCGTCAGGATGGGACGGGTATCACCTAGGAGACACCAATCAGGTTAGAGGACAGGAACTAAACAGCTTTCAGTCAAACAGCAGAAACTCTTCCTAGAAGTGATGCTGTATGTGAAGAAGTTTCTACCAGATGTGTTTCTGCTCCAACAGTCACTCACTTTGTTTCACTTCCTAACAGAAACCTCTGATGCAGATCAGAGAAAATCATCCAGCAGTTTAACTTTTTACATCTGAATCATTTCAGAGTTACAGTAAAAAATAAATCACAAAGGAAATAAGATTAAACATTTAAAATAGGCAGATTTGACTCTAATAAGGAAAATTATTACTTGTGTTTTATCTTATAAAAATAGAAAAACATATAATTTTATTATTAAATGTTAAATAAAAAATTTAATTTTTGTTTTTTTTATTCTCACAGTTAATTAGATAGAAACAAAGACAAGAAATGTAAATAAAAAAGAATTTTCATAACCTGTTAAAAGTTTTCTATAAATGAACATAACTTTGTAAAAGGTCTCTGTACAGAGGGCATTCTGAAATGAGGAATGTATTTAAATATATGTTTTTATAATAGACCCAAAAATATTAAACTAACTTCTAACCTCCAGTCTGGTTCCTCCAGACGTGACCCACAGTTATACAAACTAACTCAGCTGCTGTTTAGAGACGTTTGACTGTAGAGACACGACTTTCTGTTTTTATTCATCATGATTAGAAAATAAATCATTATAAATAAATGTTTTCTCTTTTTTGGCCTCATTTTAAAATCCTAATACATTTTTTAATGTTGTAAATTTTAATTTCAAAGCAAACTTTGCAGTTTAGTTATTCATATTAATTGTAAAACCTTTAAAAATGAACAAAATTACTTCAAAAGACAACAAATCTCTTTAAAAAACGACAATAACAACAAAATAAATGTAAAATTTAATGGTTTTAACTTACTTCCAACCTCCAGTCTGGTTCCTCCACCAAACGTGTACCACAGTGATACAAACTGGTCGAGTCGTCGTACAAAAACCTCTGAGAGACACGGCTCTGTGAGTCTGACACAAACAAACTCACCAGTTTATACTAAATGAGACTTTTGTCAGCTTAAATTTAATTAACTGTGCTAGTTTTGAATTCCCAACAACACAGTAATACTATTTATCCTGAATGATTAAACATGATGAAAGGTTGTAAAGGTGTTCAAACGTGAAATCATGTAAAAGTAAATATTGAGTAGAGAGAATTTTTGTTTCAGTTCTGATGAATAAATAACAAGCTGACTAGAAAATATTGTAGAAAAGATGAAACATTTGTAAAAATGTACAGAGTCTCAAAAGTGTTGTTACTGGTTTTAATGGAAGTTATTGGTTTCATTTTGAGCTTTTTATACATTAAATGTAATAATGTTAAAGATAATTTTATGAAGATCTCAGACTTAAATTATGATTCAAAATCGTGCTTAAAATGTAGGTGATTTAAAACCATCATCAGCCTGAGCCATGATCCTGTTGGAGTGAGTCAGCAGATTTCCATAGAGCATGACTTTGCATCAGCAGCACCATGCTCCAGTGCTCTGGGAGAGTTTATAGTCCTGAGAGTTGAAGACTGGATGACTGACAGCTGTCCTTCATCACAACAGAAGACTTGGAAATCCTCCTGATCAAAACCATGACTTTGATCTGCGTCCTCATCTGGACTCTCCTCTGCTGCTGCTTCACAGGTAAAGTCCAGAGAATCCAACTCCTCTCCTCTATGAACATCTGTCCCTCTGGAATGAAGCCCACAAAAGCATCAAGCTGCTTTCTGCTTTTGTCTCCTCAGAGTCCAGAGGTCAGGTCACAGTGACTCAGTCTGCAGCAGTGAGCTCTGCTGTGGGACGCTCCGTCTCCATCTCATGTAGGACCAGTCAGGAAGTAAGAGGCAGATATTTATCCTGGTACCAACAGAAAGATGGACAACCTCCTAAACTCCTTGTTTATGGCGCTGCCGCCCGACAATCAGGATTCTCAGATCGTTTTTCAGGCAGTGGATCTGGATCTGACTTCACTCTGACCATCAGTGGAGTTCAGGCTGAAGATGCTGCAGTTTATTACTGTCTGAGTTTTCATTTTATAAACGGCCCGCATCTGTTCACACAGTGAAAACCCGTCGTACAAAAACCTCCCTCAGTCAGGCCGAACAGAAACTAACAGCTGGAAGCTTCAGCAGTTCACTGATGACATAAACACGTGTAGCAACACTTTACATCCTTCAAAACACTAAATATGATATTTCATCTTAATATAAAATAATTAAATGTGCTGAATTTAATAAACCATTTAGATTTTAAAGAGTTGATGATTTTTTGTTAAATGAGAGAAAAAATTAACGTACGAATAAATAACTGAAAATAATGAAATTAGTGGACATAAAAAAAACAACCATTTGTGTTTCAGGAAGACTAGAAGAAAATGAATAAAATACAGTCACTTTTTTAAAAATGTCACAAATTATTGCAAAGATTTGAAGATTTATCCTGAATCTGATCCTAATTAGACGAGACATGAATAACGTTCTGTTTTACATCATTTCACTCTTTTGTGCAAATAAACCTCTGCATAACAAACTATTTAAAAAGAAACTGATTAATTTTCATAAACAAGTATCAAAGTCTAGATTCTCATCATAGAGGAGGAAACATGGAGACAGCTGGTGATGAGCTGACTGACTAAAATGTTGTGTTTGATAATTTTCCAATGAGAATTTTCTTCAGAAATTCATTTGATCCCATTTCTTTTACCTCCTTCAGACAAAAAGCAGGTCACAGACGTAGAAATATGACATGTAGAGCTGATGATCAGCCGACTGACTGTGTGTGTTTGCATGTGTGTCCTGCCTCTCTGCTCCCAGCTGTTAAGAGGTCAGTGTTGATCAGTGGCTGTCCAGGTCTTTCAGAGACACCGACACACCGGCAGCACGATGATGATGTCACTGACTCTACTGCTGACCACCCTGGGGCTCCTTGTTCACGGTGAGACTCTCTGATGAAAACTTGGTTTCAGGATGGAAACAGGTTCACTACAATGATGATCTTAAATAACAGAGAAACACTTTATACCCTTCTCTTCATATAAAATTCCTTTAAAGTTTATTCATCTTTTTGCTCATTTTTATCATTTCCAGGTTCATCAGGAGAAATCAGTGTGGCTCAGACTCCAGGAGCTCAGTCTGCTGCTGCAGGACAAACTGTTTCTATCAGATGTAAAACTGACACACTGATAGGTGATGACATGAACTGGTATCTTCAGATATCTGGAGAAGCTCCGAAACTCCTGATTGCTGATACAACACTTCGTCAGTCTGGAGTTCCATCGTTTTAGAGCAAGTTACTCAGGAACTGACTTCACTCACACCATCAGTGGAGTTCAGCCTGCAGATGCAGGAGTTTATTACTGTCAGCAGGATTACAACTTACCGTTCACACAGTGAAGCAACGTTGTACAAAAACCTCCTTCAGCTGAAGAGGAACTGATCCACAGCTGCTGTACAGAAAGAGTTTACACATGCTGTTAATAAAAGCAAACACAATCATAAAAACGTATACACTTAAAAAATATATATTTATTCACAACTTTATTAAGTTTAATAGGGAGTTTTCTTTGAATATATTTTATTTTATTAAAAAATACAAAATACAGACTTGATTACATCAGAAGTATTGTCTGTAGTCAATGAAAAAGGCACAACAGCATTAAATCACCACATATTTACTACAAACATTTTTTCTATTTTCTTTTGGGGTTTTATGATTTATTAATCGTGTTCTTCTAATAAACAAGTAAAACAAGTATTAAATAAGTAGTATGAAAAATCTCCTGGGAGACAAAAAAAATCCAAGGTCTTTATAATTTTTCCTTCTTTTAATGTTGTTTGATTAAATTGTTAGTTCATAACTTGTGAAGATTATGTCATGCAGTAAAATAAAAATCTATTTTAAGAATTAGAGCTTGTTAGATTAAATGTTTTTATGGAAGTAACCTGTAGAAAACACTGTGATGATCCCACCACTAGGGGTCACTTTACCTCAATTTTTTACGTTACAGTCTACTGTTATATGAGCTTCACCTGGATCAGGTGTGTTCTTCAGTCTTGTGAGGAGTTCACTGGTCACCTCTGATGTTTGGTTTCTCGTTATGTTTGGGTTTTTGCGACACACATTTTCACACATCCAGACAATCGTTACTGAGTAGTCATGTTACCTTTTAGCCGTTGTCTCAGAATAGCACCACTTCCTGCTGTCCGTGTCTGTTTGTTGCAGCCTCTGAGCCAGAATAAAACAGAAAAATGTCTTGTTGATTCAAAACAAATTCTTCATTTTTCTTTTTTAACACAAATAAGAAGTGCCAAGACGTAAATTCACTATGTTCAATTTTGTATGCGAAAATCTAACTATACTGTTGCTAGTGTTTATCTGTGTTGTTTTTCTAGTTTGCTGTCTTTATCTCCAATATAGAAACAAAAACGATGTATATGCACACATATTTCAGTTGTAACTAATTTAATTTACCCTCAACACCTGAACAGTCTTGTTCTTGGCTCTGGCTTTAATGACAGAAGCTGACTGAGCTGTTGTACAAAACCTCTGACTGTAGAGAGAAACGGCTCTCTGAGTTTGACACAAGAGAAAACAGATGTTTTACACACAAAGAACAGTTTAATTTAAGGACTCACCTTCCCACCATTTATTTACAACATAAAGATAGCATCTACAAACAGGAACACGGACGTGCCATGGCATTCCCTGTCTCTCCCAGTGTAGCTAATGTCTATTTGAAAGAAGTGGGAATCCCCACTAATAAGAAGGAAAAAGACAAAGAACACAAACACATCAATAAATCACTCCAAACCTGTGTGACAACTGGCTGTATGTGAAAGCACATGTCAAGAAAACAATCAACTCAGGCCAGAGGAAGAGAAGAGAAGGGGGGGGGGGGGGGCAATGTCATCCCATGTGTGGCTTGAGTGTTGCAGAAACTAAGGATTGTTTTCCAAGCATAATATTCTGGTGGATTTTAAACCTCCTAACACTCTCAGAGACAAACTAGCTCTCTCCAAGGACAAAATGCCCAAACACAAGCCCAGTGGTGTGGTACATGTAGTTCAGTGCAGCAATGGATGCTCAGACACCTTGTTACAGACCTCGTAAGTTTCCCCTGTGATCAGCACCTGGACAGCTCATGGAAGCTGCCACTCTCCTCTGCAGCGCTGTTCCATCATCCCATTTCAGCACCATGGAGAGTGACATGCTGCTGCAACACCAGTAGAAGCCCAAGATGATACACATTTGTGATTAGACTGCTCAAGCCTTCAGAAGGCTGATTGTTTTGATAATTCAGGGGGCCCAGATCTGTGCTGTTGTCCTCTTGTCTGTAACTGGTATAGCAATCAGCCCCCCCCTTACTTAATTAAGAAGCTGAAATGCTACATGCAGACCTGCCTGATGTGGCAGTCCCACACATGTTCTTAAAATAACTTGTTACCAGAGACTTCATAGTTGTGAAGCTGCTTAGTTTAATGTTGTCATTAAGCCAACTTGTTTTGCGTGAAGTTCTTTGGATTCACTTCTCTTTAGTGTTTGCCCCATTTTTCAATTGTGAGTAGTGTCTGTATTGGCCTTAGTCTTTATTGTGGTTGTTTTAGACCTTCTTGTTTTAGAGAAGAAACGTGGAGGGTGAGTATGCGCATGCGCTGACGGCCCGATCACCGGACACACGGCGGCGTCTTGAAGCAGATGGCAGCTTGTTAATCAACTTCCACAAACAATTAAGACAGATTTTTGCCTAATTTACTCACTGACAACGCAAAAAATTTAATAAATCTGGTAAATATAACTCACTCAACCTGGAGGTAAGTGGAGAAAATCTGGAAAATTTGCAAACATATATTGATGAGGTTTTTGAGTTTTTTGTCATGGGACCGAAGAAAGCAGCAGCAGCTGAGGCGGAAACGCCTGGGACCAAGAGGAGCCGTCCCCAGGACTCGCCCGAGGCCTAATCTCCCCATAAGAATGTCTTAGATCTACTACAGTCCATAGATAAA